TTTCCTCATTTGCATAATACAAAAACGTGAATATCTCTAAAACGAAAAAAGATATTCCAAAAAGGAAAACGCCATTCTTCTTTACTTTGAAGAGCCTTTCAAATAAACAGGAATTGTTTTTTACTTCATAGGCACTTTAAGTGTAATAACAAGTTGATATTGTTGGTTTGTAGGTTTGTAGCCTTTCGTGATCTGAAGGAACGATACGGTGATTAAATTTGCATTTGTTGATCTCGACGGATCGATTCCCGGTTAAACGTTTTAATTTGTTCCAGTCAGCTAGTACTGTCGGCAGTTGGTGCCTTTTCTCCCTCTAAAAAGTCGGAAAAAGTAAATTAAAAAAGAAGCTACCTAAAACTAAACACTTCGTATATTTTAGGTTTGATAATATAACCGTTTTCCCATATATTGTTACAGTAATTCCGACTGTTGCGTAACCTGAGCACTACTAAATGAATACGGACTCTCATTTTTGTGGTTGGGCTACCTGTGGTGCAAATATATACAACCAAGAGATTTCGTTCAAGCTAAGATCGACAGCGAACTAAATGCTAGTTTTAAATGCAAAATTTTGGAAAAATACTGATTATCCACTTTAAGTTGAAAATTTTGACCGAAATATTTCGGAAGAAGAAAAATTGATATGACTACAAATGTGCACCAAACGGTTACTCGAGGATTCAAATTATGGCCTTAAAAACAACCACTCGAGGAACGTTTTGAGTTGTGTTGTTTAGAATTGTGTGTTTTTTTTTTCTCATAAATTACATTGTTCCTTGTGCTCGAGGCTTCCAGCTACTGAAAAAATATAACGTGAACCGATAAGATAACGTTAGACTACGAGTAGTCCCTCTTTCACTTAGTCCGTCGTGCGTGACGCGAAAGAAATTCGCGAGAAAAAATGCTTGTGTGTGGCACTTGTGAGTACCATCCTTGCATTCATCGATGTCATGGCAAGACCAGCCATTTCCTTTAAAGCCTGGTAGACAAGTACAATAATAAGAGCCCATAATGTTACTGCAGAGTGCATGAACACTGCAATTGTCCATATTGTCATTGCACTCATCAATATCCTGACAAGATATGCCATCTCCCTGGAATCCTTCAAAGCAAGTACAATCATAAGAACCAATAGTGTTATTGCAGTGTGCATAAATACTGCAATTGTGCCCATTGCCATTACACTCATCAACATCTTGACATGACATGCCATCTCCATGAAATCCTTCAAGACAGATACAATGATAGGAGCCAACAGTGTTATTGCAGCGTGCATAAACACTGCAATTGTTGACATTGTCTTCGCATTCATCAGTATCCTGACATAACATGCCATCTCCATGGAATCCTTCAGCACAATTGCAATTATAAGAGCCAATGGTGTTAATGCAATGTGCATGGACACTGCAGTTGTGCATATTGGCCAGTTTGCATTCATCAACATCTTGACATGACATGCCATCTCCACGGAATCCTTCAAGACAGGTACATTGATAGGAACCAATAGTGTTATCGCAGAGTGCATGAACACTGCAATTGTGTATATTGTCTTTGCACTCTTCAATATCTTGACATGACTTGCCA